GGAGCCACAGGAAGCTGAGGACAGAGCTGTCTCAGGAGCCACAGGAAGCTGAGGACAGAGCTGTCTCAGGAGCCACAGGAAGCTGAGGACAGTTGTCTCAGGAGCCACAGGAAGCTAAGGACAGAGCTGTCTCAGGAGCCACAGGAAGCTGAGGACAGAGCTGTCTCAGGAGCCACAGGAAGCTGAGGACAGAGTTGTCTCAGGAGCCACAGGAAGCTGAGGACAGAGCTGTCTCAGGAGCCACAGGAAGCTGAGGACAGAGCTGTCTCAGGAGTCGCAGGAAGCTGAGGACAGAGTTGTCTCAAACGCTCAGAAAGGCTCTGATTGACATCATGTTGAAGGTAAAGACCACCAGACCATCTCCATCAGCTTCATGTTCCTCTGTACTGCTGCACAGATTATTCGGAAGGTTCAAGTCCACAGGACACGAGATGATGTCCATGGACATGTCCACAAGAGGTGACCTCAAAGGTCATCAGTGTCAAATCACACCATCTCTGTCTGAGACAAAGTGAACTTCATGACGACCGAAGAAGACACTGAGAGACGGACTTGAATTTCTCAAACTTCATCTTGAGAAGCCTCAATGCTTCTCGGTCAATGTCCTCTGGACAGATGAGACAAAACTGGAGCTTTTTGACAACACGTCTGTCGTTGCTGTGTCCAGAACCAAAACTGAATAAACAAGAGAACCCTGCACCTACAGTGAGACATGGAGAAGACTCGGTTCTGTTCTGGTCCTGCTTTGCTGCATCTGAATAGGGGGTCCTGAATCTGTGCAAGGTCCAATAAAATCTCAAGACTATCAAGGCATTCTGGAGACAGATGTTCTGCTCAGAGTCAGACAGCTTGGTCTCAGTCACAGGTCCTCTAACAGGATGAAGACCCAAAACACACAGCTAACAACACCAAGACTGGATCAGAACCAAACACTGGACTGTTCTCAAGTGGTCTACTGAACCCTGATCTAAATCCTGTTGAACATCTGGAGAAGGAGCTGAAACATCTGGACAAGGAACATTCAGACCTGAGATAGCTGGAGCAGTTTGATGATGAGGAGTGGACCAGAACACCTGAGGACAAGATTGGTGTCCTCTGGTGTTCTAGTCCACATGTCCGCAGGTTTTCTGGTCCACCTGTCCACAGGTGTTCTGGTCCACCCGTCAGCAGGTGTTCTTGTACACCCGTCCACAGGTGTTCTGGTCCAGCTGTCCACAGGTTTTCTGGTCCAGCTGTCCACAGGTGTTCTGGTCCACCTGTCCATAGGTGTTCTGGTCCAGCTGTCCACAGGTGTTCTGGTCCAGCTGTCCACAGGTTTTCTGGTCCACCTGTCCACAGGTGTTCTGGTCCACCTGTCCACAGGTGTTCTGGTCCAGCTGTCCACAGGTGTTCTGTCCTCAGGTGTTCTGGTCCAGCTGTCCACATGTTTTCTGGTCCACCTGTCTACAGGTGTTCTGGTCCAGCTGTCCACAGGTGTTCTGTCCTCAGGTGTTCTTGTCCACCTGCCCACAGGTGTTCTGGTCCAGCTGTCCACAGGTGTTCTGGTCCACCCGTCAGCAGGTGTTCATCTGTCAGGTGGACCAGAACATCTGAGGACAGAGAAATTTGGTTCAGACATCCAACATTTTTCAGTCAGGTTATCTGGACAGTTTCTTTATTTTTGAGCTGAAACATTTCACCTTCGATCCAGAAGGCTTCATCAGTCAAGGAAACGCACAACACAAAAAATCTGAAAAAATCTGTCATTGCTTTTAAATTACTAGAATTTAAAAATAGATAAATAAACTAATGAAACTGGCCCGGCCTAAAAGGATGGACCGTTTGTCCACAGGGACATGTTAAACTCGGGTGCGTCCTTTTTTTTTTGTGTGTGTGTTGTGTGTTTCCTTGACTGATGAAGCCTTCCGGATCGAAGGTGAAATGTTTCAGCTCAAAAATAAAGAAACTGTCCAGATGACCTGACTGAAAAATGTTTGATTGTGTACCTGGATTATTGAGCATGGACTTTGTTGGTTCAGACATATTTGTCCACATCTGTTGACATCAATAATATGTAATGTATTGGAAATATAACGTGTCTTTATCTTTACCTTGTAAGGCACATTTTTCAAACACTACACTGGGAGGACCAACTGCTTTTTATGGGGCCCAAAGCCCAGTCCCCATATGAAGAAGTACCGTTGGGGTTAGGGTCCAGATTAGGCTCAATGAATGAAAAATAACTGCAAGTCCATGCAAAGTCCCTGTAAAGACAGACTATTTGTGTGTGTGTGTGTGTAGGAGTTACTATGAGAGTAACGACCTGACGTCAGCTCTCGGTGTGATGGAGGAAGCTCTGACTCGACACCCCAGCTTGGCCAGCGATGACATCATCAACATGGCGGCTGAGCTCTACATCTGTAGCCGCCAGTACAAACAGGCCCTGCAGGTAAACACACCTGTGTGTTACTGAGCAGTGGAAAGAGTGCTGCTCGTGTTGCAGAGAAGGATTAACTGGTGTTTGTTCTTAGGTTTTAGTCAAGTTTACTGGTGCGGTTTTGGTCCGAGCTGAGCCCACGCCACCGGTCACGGCATCGCAAACACAAATGGTGACCGAGGAGGAACTGAAACGTGAAGAGGACAGTAACTCAGATGAGCATGGTAGATATTTGATTCAAACTTCATATGTGAAGAACAAGTTTGAAAAGAGTTGGACTTCCTGACTCATTCTGGTGGAAAGGTCTCCACTCCCTGTGAGCTTTTACCATACAACATATTATTGCACCAGATACTAATGGGCCTCTAAAACTTTCAGACCCTTTCAAGGTATCTCTTATTTTTTTCCAAATGGATGTGGTGCATCACCTCTTATCCAATGTTCATATGTTGGGGGGTGTGGGTCCTTCCAGTTACACAAAGGCAATCAAATCCCCCTCGCATCTGCTGAAGGACATATCCCCCAACAGTGAGGTGAGTGGTGATGGATGAATAGTTTTGCCACATATTCCAGAGAAGGTGCCAAATATAGATTGCCAAAAAGTCTGCAGTTTGGGACAGGTCCAGAATGTATGCAGGAGTGTAGCTGGAGTTTGTTTGCAACGATTGCATGCGGGGTCCAGGTTGGCTTTGATCCTGGACAACTTGTCTATGGACCAGAGCAGCCTGTGCACCACCTTGAATTGCATCGCAGTCAGTTTCAGGCAGACTGAAGATGAGCAAATGTTCTTAATGATCCACATTGAGTCTGATATGGGTTCCTCCAAGTCCGCTTCCCGTTTCAGTTTAAGTGAGTCCAAACTGGACTCACGGTATGATCTGAGCAGTGTATACTCTTGCTAAGGGCCCCCTTGGTATCAGACCTGCATTCCAAATCTTAGCCACAAAATGTTTGGAGGGGAAAACAGTCAGAGTTAGATCTCACAAAGTGTCTCAGCTGTAGATATCTAAAAACTGTGACTTGTGAATATTAAACTTCTGTACCAGCTGTTCAAAAGAGGCAAATCCACCATTAATATAGAGAGCTCACAGTGAATGCACCCCTCCCAAGACCCAGGTGTCAAATGCCCCTTTTCCTTTACTAAAGGTACAACCTGTCCCTATTTTCAGGACCCCTGGCTCAGTGGTTGTAACCGGAACGAGTAGGTACTAAAACGTGACGTCAGAACACTGTCGGTCACTGATTGGTCGGGGGAGGAGTCACTGAAACTGAAAACTTTCCACAATCCACCATTTTCTCTCCAGCCTGCAAAAACTCTCAAGGATCTACGGGACTTATTTCTGAATAATAATAATGTCAACATCGTGGTCCAACACAGAAGCGCAGGCGTTTTTGTGCTTGGTGGGCGAGGAAAACGTTCAGAGGGAGCTGGACGGAGCGACTCGCAACGGGAAGATCTTCAAAGAGTTGTCGGAGCGGATGATTTCCCAGGGCTACCATCGTACACCGAAGCAATGCGGCGAAAAACTAAAGAAGCTTAAAAGCGAGTACCGCACGGTGAAAGACCCGAACAGCAGGAGCGGATGGAACCGACGAAGTGGGAATGGGTCCATGTAATGGATGCCATCTACGTAATCGCCCTGCCCGCAATGGGAGAGTATCCTGGACACAGGCACGGCTCGGCTGGAGCCCATGATGGAAGACGGTGAGTTTATTCTGAATTGAAGCACGTTTTAAGTTGTGACGCTGTTGCCCGTGAAGCGCTCCTCATTGGTTAGCATCGATGCTACTTTGCTCAGTGCTAACTCTGTTTTGATCCAGAATATGCTCCTCCATGTGAAGATTCATGAGAAAATGCTGTTTGAGACGCTCCAAGCGTCCCGTCGTCTTCTGCACCAGCCCCCTCACCGAGCAGCCACCACCAGCCTGCTGTTCTTGGTGAGGAGCATCACGGGTCACATCACCGCACTTCATTCGTGCACGTAGGAGAAGACCTGCTGTATTTATTTCTTTGAGTAAAACATCACAGTATAAAGTGGGCACCAGTGACCCCCACGACCAGAAGAGTTCCTAATGAAAACACCTGGATTTACTCTCATTTAAACACGCGAGCCCACACAAGTCACATGCGTGTTCCTCGTGGAGCATGTTTGGTTCAAGCAGCTCATGGACTTCTACTGTAAAGATCTCCAGTCAAAAACACCAAATCATTGAGATGATTGTGTTTTACTTTTGCTTTGTGTTCGAGCGGACTTCAAAAAGACATGACGTGCTTCTTTAAATCTGTATTTTCTGTCTTTAACAAGCACTTCATGTCTTTTAGAAGTCCGTTTGAAGTGAAAACCAGCAGAAGAAGCTGTACAGAGAATGGATGATTTTACAGTAAAGGTCCAGGAGAGGGCGGCACACGTTCATGGTATAAATATATTATAAACTGAAGTAGCTTATTCTTCAATGCATGTTAATTTTACTGTGTACACACACACATATATGTGTATTTTTTCCAGTTCTTTATGTACAGTACTTTTAGTAGTTTTGTTTCAGTAGTTACCTTTTTTATTTACATTAATTACTTTCCAATAAAAAACTTGTTTCTTGTGTCCTGTGTCTGCATGATAATGTTCGATGTTAAAAGCTTAGTGTTTTTCTTCACGTCCACAGTGAAGGTTAGACAAATTTGAGTCCCAGTCTCAGGTCTCTTGCAGACTTCCTGTATTTGGCTCCATCCATCTTCCATCAATTCTGACCATCTTCCCTGTCCCTGCTGATGAAAAGCAGCCCAAACCATGATGCTGCCACCACCATGTTTGACAGTGGGGATGGTGTGTTCAGGGTGAGGAGCTGTTTTGCATTGTGGCCAAACAGTTGGATTTTGGTTTCATGTGACCAGAGCACCTTCTTCCACATGTTTGGTGTCTCCCAGGTGTCAAACTTTAAACAACACTTTTTATGGAGATCTTTGAGAAATGTCTTTCTTCTTGCCACTCTTCCATAAAGGCCAGATTTGTGCAGTGTACGACTGATTGTTGTCCTATGGACAGACTCTCCCACCTCAGCTGTAGATCTCTGCAGTTCATCCAGAGTGATCATGGGCCTCTTGGCTGCATCTCTGATCAGTCTTCTCCTTGTTCCAGATGAAAGTTTAGAGGGACGGCCGGGTCTTGGTAGATTTGCAGTGGTCTGATACTCCTTCCATTTCAAATATGATTGCTTGCACAGTGCTCCTTGGGATGTTTAAAGCTTGGGAAATCTTTTTGTATCCAAATCCGGCTTTAAACTTCTCCACAACAGTATTTCGGACCTGCCTGGTGTGTTCCTTGGTCTTCATGATGCTCTCTGAGCTTTGAACAGAACCCTGAGACTATCACAGAGCAGGTGCATTTATACAGAGACTTGATTACACACAGGTGGATTCTATTGATCATCATCGGTCATTTGGGACAACATTGGATCATTCATAGATCCTCACTGAACTTCTGGACTGAGTTTGCTGCACTGAAAGTAAAGGGGCCCAATAATATTACACGCCCCACTTTTCAGTTTATTTGTTAAAAAAGTTTGACTCATCCAATAAATTTCATTCCACTTCACGACTGTGTCCCACTTGTTGTTGATTCTTCACAAAAAATAAAATTTTATATCTTTTTGTTTGAAGCTGAAATGTGGCAAAAGTTGAAAAAGTTCAAGGGGCCCAATACTTTCACAAGGCGCTGCAGGCAGGAGAAACTTTTTCTTTAGCTGTGGGCTGTACAAAGGTACTGCAGGGGCTAAATAATAGAAAATAATTTATTTTAAATATAAGTTCCATGCCGCTCGTGCAGCTCATCCATCAATCAGTGTGTCATGTCCAATCTTATTTTGAAAAACCGTGATAGAGTGAGACCGTAATAAACAAAGCGTGAAGTAGTGAGGGACTAGGGATGCACCGATCCACTTTTTGACTTTCGATACCGATACCTGAGGTTTGTTGCCGGCGATACTGATTCGTCTGATGCAGAAAAATCAGTGCTGAATTCCGTTCAGCAAACTCTGCGTGCTCTTTAGGGTGAAATCTCTGGAGATGCTTGATGAAGTTGATAGTGTCATAACTGGAAATTTTAATGACACCCCCTGGAACCGTCGTCGTGCACATATTGCACGTAGCTGTCGAATGTGTTGGCAGAGGTAGTGTGAAATGGTTCCAGATGGCTGATTCTTTCGCTCGCTCCATTTTGAAAACAATCTGTGCGGTGAGTTCACTAGCACGTGGTGTCACTCAGAGCACAAAGCATAGAATTAGAGTGAATAGATCTGCCCAGTCCTGGATCGGTCACATTGTCACCGATACCCAATCCAGAAGTTTTTTCAATATCTGGACCGATATTGGTATCGGATCGGTGCATCTCTATGAGGGACTACTGTATAAGCAAGTTTAGCTCATCCAAACAGACAAAACCTTGCTTATATTGCTATAATCTATCCATTTTTCTCATCCATACATTCTTCCGCTTGTTCCAAAGTCTGGTCGCGGGGGCAGCAGCTTGAGCAGGGAGGCCCAGACATCTCTCTCCACAGCCACCACCTCCAGCTCTTCTGGGGGGACCCCAATGTGTTCCCAGGCCATCCGAGAGATATTGTCTATCCAGCGTGTCCTGGGTCTTCTCCGGGGTCTCCTCCCAGTCAGACAAGCCCAAAGCACCTCTCTAGGAAGGCGCCCAGGAAGCATCCTTACCAGATGCCTGAACCACCTCAACTGTCTCCTCTCGATGTGGAGGAGCAGCGGTTCTGCTCCGAGTCTTTCCCTGATAACAAAACTTCTCACCCTGTCTCTAAGGGAGAGTCCAGCTACCATGCGTAGGAAACTCATTTCATCAACCGCCTGTATCCACAGTCTCATTCTTTCGGTCACTACCCAGAGTTCATGACAAGAGGTGAGGGGAGGAACGTAGACCGACCGGTAAACAGAGGGTTTTACCTTACAGTTCACCTTCCTTTTCACCACAATGGACCGGCACAGAGTCTGCAATACTGCAGACGCTGTACCAATATGTTTGTCAATCTCACGCTCTATTCTTCATTCATTCTCATTCATTGTGAACAAAACCCCAAGATATACTTGAAGTCCTCCACTTGAGACAGAACCTCACCCTCGACCCGAAGAGAGCCCTTTTACGACTGAGAACCATGGCTTCAGATTTGGAAGTGCTGATTCTCATCCTTGTCGCTCCAGTGAGAGCTGAAGATCACGGCACGATGACGCCAACAGGACCACATCATCTGCAAAGAGCAGAGATGGATGGATGTTTATGATAAACTCCAAACACCTAAAACTCACAGAGGGAACTTTTTGATTACTGGGGACAAAAAATGAAGTTGGAGAGATACCTTTGCTGTAATAAACCAACAAATAACTTTTTTTCAACAACTAAAGCAGCAGAAACGGCAGATCGCATTGATAAGAAGGACACTCAAACAGGCTGCTTGCTCTCTGCTAGGAAGAGCTCAAAACTAGCTAAAAGACTACTTGAGTTAGCTGCTCACATATTTTAATGACTTTAAAACTTGCTGCTTGTTCAGAAAACATCTTCTTTTTTTTTTTTTTTTTTTTTTTTTTTTTTTTTTTTTT